CTTAAGACTATGTAATGTGGACTCAACGGTCGGTACACCACATACGAAGTTTTATAATATCTTCGGAGAAATAAAAGTTTTAGGATATAGATCTAGATCAAGGTATTTACTTATTTGTAGTTTGTACATTTTCGTGACACTTTTCGCACCTCCACCAGAAATTGGTGCGCGCCTCACAGCATAGAAACCACTGCGTTGGGGTTCGACAATACTAAGGGGCAACGGGGTGGGGAATCGGATTCGGGTTATGGTAAATGTCAGTATATGACAAGTGGAAGGGGGGGGGGGGCGGCATTTAAAAAAAAAAACCTTTTTTACAATAATTGTAATAAAAAATTAACCCTTTATTTTATACTCGATGTAGTTTTACTTTATAGTTTATACCTAAATCTAGAATCTACTTACTCTTAATGCATGTTGTGTTGTCGGCTGAGGCATAAAACCCAAGGCTACAAACACATCGTCGTCCTCTGCATATGGTGTCTGCTACAGCGTCGCTGCAGTCAGTGTCAAGGGTGCAGTTGTCATAAATGACACGGCGGTGACATGTGGTGGCGTCGTCATTTCTAGTCATATATCCTGACATGCACCTGCACAATCCTCTACATTCACTGTTGTTAACTGCATCACTGCAGTCCACATGCACATCACATTTTCCGATGCCGATCTTTCTTTTTAAACACCCCGTGTTGTTGTTCTCACTGTAGAAACCGGACACGCATGCGCACTTCCCATTTACACACGTGCTGTAGTCTACGGCGGTGGAGCATTCCGATTCAGCCGTGCAGGTGTCGGTATGGAGACGCATCCGATGACACGCGTCCCGGTCAAGGTTAGTCGCGTAACCATGGTCACAGACGCAAACGCCCGATGCGCAGTGGCTCATGTTGACAGCGTCTCTACAGTCTAGGTCCACTGCGCATGTCTGCTCCCTGATTCGCCGGCGTCTACACAGTGTCATGCTGGCGTCAACTTGGTAGCCAGATTTACAAAGGCAGATGGCCTACAAGATGTTTAAAAATTATTTACACATTTAAATATGGAATATATTATAGAGACATTTATAAATAAAAAAACATTTTTGCTTCAGACGTACCTAGGAGAACAAATCAGAGTTCAAACGTTTGTGTGACCTTGAGATAGGAACTATTAACACGATCAGTTATACAACCAACAGCGTTTCCTTTCCGCGAGTCAGTCTTCTTTTTTCTTCTTCGTTCTTAGTTTTAGTGTTGAAAAGGATCCCCTCCAACACAATTAAGTATACGCGACAACTGGTTATGCGCCATTGAGGCCATTGACTCTGATTTCAGCCTGCTTTTCTTTTTAGATTTGCTTCCATAGCCTTTGTCCAACCAAGAACAAACTACAAAGCAGCAGTTGTTTGATTTTGGAGTTGTCTCTCCTTGAAGAATTGCTGTCCCCAGCTAATGAGCCTCATCTGCCCGAAGGTTCGAACTCGAGAATTTTCGGTTTAGCAACCATGAGCTTTACAGACTCGACCACACCGACCGCGAGTCAGTAACTCACTGGACATGGTTAGGTAAAGTAACCGTAGAGGTAGCCAGACCAATGGTCAAGGAAGGGGGGGGGGGGGTGGTTAGGTAATGTAAGTGGAAAACATGTTAGCCAGGCCAGTTGTCAAGGGGGTAGATAATGTGACGTAGCTCAAATTTTATGTTCTTCAAACCAAAACGACGAAAAAAAAAATCCAGCCCAAAATGCAGCAAGCCTACAAGTTCTGATGTTCATACCTTAGTTCCATTTCTTGTGCAGACGCTGTTGTCAACAGCTTTACTGCAGTCGTCGTTTGGACCTGTGTAACAGAAGTCGCCGATCTTCTCTAAAAACAAAAACAAATTTTTTTAATCGAAATCGAAAAATAATTTAATGACAGTATTAAATAATTTGTTTAAGAAAATGTTTCTTCTGGACGGGGGTACTTTAAAGTACGAGGGGACGCTGTTTCAAGGTTGTATTTTTAAAATCAATGATATAAAACTTCTATTTAAGCTGAACATATCGTTTATTTTGTTTTGATACTATCGTTATCGTAACTCTAACTATAATCCAGCTCCTAAACTAAACTCTGACATATATCGTTATCGTAACTCTAACTATAATCCAGCTCCTAAACTAAACTCTGACATATATCGTTATCGTAATAACTATAATCCAGCTCCTAAACTAAACTCTGACATATATCGTTATCGTAACTCTAACTATGATCCAGCTCCTAAACTAAAATCTGACATATATCGTTATCGTAACTCTAACTATAACCCAGCTCCTAAACTAAACTCTGACATATATCGTTATTGTAACTCTAACTATAATCCAGCCCCTAAACTAAACTCTGACATATATCGTTATTGTAACTCTAACTATAATCCAGCCCCTAAACTAAATCTGACATATATCGTTATTGTAACTCTAACTATAATCCAGCCCCTAAACTAAACTCTGACATATATCGTTATCGTAACTCTAACTATAATCCAGCTCCTAAACTAAACTCTGACATATATCGTTATCGTAACTCTAACTATGATCCAGCTCCTAAACTAAAATCTGACATATATCGTTATCGTAACTCTAACTATAACCCAGCTCCTAAACTAAACTCTGACATATATCGTTATCGTAACTCTAACTATAATCCAGCTCCTAAACTAAACTCTGGTCCAAGCTAAAACAGTTATCCTTCATCCTAGCTCGAGTCATATGTACAATCCAGACCCTTATCCTTATTGCAACAGCGATACCGATAAACCTCGACTCGATACCGTATTGTAAGACTAGTGCGCATGTCAAACTTACTGCGTGGACAGAAGGTGTTGTTTCTGGTCTGCAAATAGCCTCCACCACAGCGGCATCTTTTGCTCACACAGACTGCGTTAGGCACGTGCACAGAACAATCCGAATCGTTCGTGCATGGATCACTTAGGACGCGAGGAGCACATTGGTTTCCTAGGAGATAAAGTAGTTGTACAACATTGTATACTGTATTTCTGAATATCAAAAGGACTGGTGTTAAACTCATTTCAATGAGCTTTTGTCATTAGATGTGCATACCTATGTATACATACATACACACACACACACACACAAACACACAAACACACACACTCATATATATATATATATATATATATATATATATATATATATATATATATATATATATATATATATATATATATATATATATATATATATCATGTCTAAAAAATTAGAAAAGCTTGATCTACCTAAGACATGACTAATGTGAAAATAAAAAACGTACCTGCCATTTCTAGGAAACCATCTTTACACAAACATGCATTGAGTGAGCAGTTAGTAGGCAGGCTAGACACGTGCATTAACCTACGGCATGCGTCTACACACAGGGGGTCGGGCGACGTTTGGTCACACACACCGCAGTAGCTGTTGGGTATCGTCAGTGAGCAGTCTTGTGAGCTCGTGCATGCGTCCCCCAAGGTCGTGGGCAGGCAGGTGGCTTGACCCGGAACTAGTTGGTCGCTGTGTTTGGGTGAGTACCCAGGGACGCAGACGCACGTGTTGAAGAAACACTCCGAGTGTGGGTTCGTGACGTTGCATTCCTCCTGACTAACGCAGCGATCCCCGAGACCCACTGGCGCGCATGCGCCGACCGCGTTCTTCCGGTAACCAATAACGCATTGACATGCGCCGTCGACGTCACAGAAGCTATGAAGAAACTGTTTCTCGCATTGGGAATCGGAACTACATCCGGTTCCTTTTAAAAGACAGGTCTTGGCGTCGTCTTGGTAGTAGGTGTCCTGACACTGGCATTTAAAGCTCACGCACATGCTGTGCATGACGGAGTTGGCGCACAGGCTGTTGTCATAGCAACCGTCTCCCAGGTGGTAAAAGCGACACGTGTAGACGTCCATCTCCGAGTAGCCCTCGTCGCACGTGCAAGACTGCTGCCTGCAGACGCTGTTGGCGACGGTGCAGTCTACGTCGCTCTCGCATTCCATCTCGCCCAGAGCCGCGTCGAAGCACGTGCCCCGGGAGCACGCGCAGATGGGGGCGTAGCACATTCCGGTGCAGTCTTGGTGCGTGCTGCACGCTGCGCCCGTCATCAATGGGCGGGTTGGAGCGGTAACCAACGCCCTGGGCGTCACTGCCCGAGGGCGACGAGCATGTTCATCATTTGAAAGGGGGTGTTTGTTTTGGTAAAGGTAAGCACGGGGTGGGGATAAGAGGAAGTCCTTATATAGAGGGGATGAAGCTGAAATAATGTCCATATTAGGAGTGGATAGGATAGAGATAATTTCCTTATAAGGAGTGGGTGGGGGAGAGATAGTTTCCTTATAAGGAGTGGGTGGGGTAGAGAGAATTTCCTTATAAGGAGTGGGTGGGTGAGAGATAATTTCCTTATAAGGAGTGGGTGGGGTAGAGAGAATGTCCATATAAGGAGTGGGCAGGGTAGAGAGAATGTCCTTATAAGGAGTGGGCGGGGCAATGAGAACACTCTTATAATGATGGGGTGGAGTCGAGAAGATGCCCTCGTGTAGAGTTCTAATGCCAGACTCTCGTCTGGAACAACGCCGTCTGCCGACCCCAACATACCCAGGCTGACACACGCACGTGTTCTGGCACGCGCTGTTCTCGATGTCGGCACAGCTGCTGTCGTCATGACACGGATCGCCCAGTGACCTTGACACACAAAGCCATCGACCCGTGCTGTTGGGCGAAGCATCTAAAAACCACACAGGGAAAATGAACACACAAATACAAACAAGCAGTTTCAAGGACATTTATAGGACGTAGAATAAAACATCATGCATCTCGTTAATTAGAAATTACATCTAAGGGATATTAATAAGACGCAACATTCAGCTGGGGTTTTACTACATTCGATCTCTGTACGATATCTATAGATATTTTCTTGCAATACAACGTCATGCACATCTAGTTATTTAGAAATCATGTCGACTTTTGCGTTAGTTTTGTTATTGTTTAGTCAAATAAATAACGTAGGAAGTGTTTTGTATTCTTAAATACTAGCCAGTCGATTATAGTTGTTTTTTTTTAAATAAAGGAACAGATGGACTCTACTTCACCTCTGAATCTCAACAGATTTGTTTTTCTTACTGCAGTTTTTATTGGCACGGTACTAGTGTAGTAGATGATGATGGTGTTTGGTTCTGTACTATCTAGTACTGTAAAAGTGTAGTAGTTGGTGTTCACACACATTCTCACACACCTTATATGCTCATACAGAAAACAGGTACAAACCGGACTGTCACAATTCACAACACTAGGATTGAACAGGGTACAAAGTATAAATAAACAACATTCACCCCCATTCATTCCCCTTCACTCATTCACTACAAATAGTTGTCAAATTATTAGAGTATTGTATGTTTACTAGTGGTCAAGATATTAGAGTACTGTATGTTTACTAGAGGTCAACTTAAGGTACATGTAGTTGTGTTGAGATTATAAATAAAGTTTGCCAAAGTGAGTGGAACATTTATGTAAGAAAGTTTTTCATGTGATTCGTACAGTTATGTAATAAAGTAAGTTGCGTGGCACGGACATATTACCACTTTTAATGTTATGCTATTTTGACTACCTGTCTACATCCATACTCTGACGCACGTGTATACTCACCTTTAGCGATATAACCTGCTTTACACTGACATGTCAGGCAAGTCTGCGGGTCTGACGTATTCGGGCCACACTGAACGCACACACTGTTCTCTATAACCGAGCTACAGTCAAACGAGTGTTTACATCCGCTTCCTAGCGTCCTCATCTCACACGATGATGTGGTGGTGGTGATGTTTGGCGTGTACCCAGGTAAACAGCGACACCTGCCGTGGTCACAGTCGGAGTGTAAAATGGTGGTGTTGCAGTCTTCAGGTTTCGTACACTCATCGTACAGACTCGCCAACACGCATGCGTCGAATCCTTCCTGGCGGTACCCTACCTTACACTTGCATGTGTTGTTCATCTCACAGAAGCTATTATTAACCTTGCACTGGGTGTTGGATTCACATTTTAACCCTCCGATTTGCTTGATGCTGCAGATGGAATTGTTCATCGGATAATGTGTGTCTTTACATTGACATGTCTTGTTAAAACAAACACTATTGTTTACGGAGTATTCGCAACGGTTTTTAGTTTCTGAGCAAACGTGTCCGAGATTATAAAAAACACATTTTTGAAATGCAGGGTCGGGCGCTAAATTTACGTTACAATGGCAGGTACTGTTGTCGCAGAAACTGTTGTTAAAGAGCTCCATGCAGTCATAATTCGTGGAGCAGTTCGTTTCTTCCAGGGCAGCTTTTGAGCATTTACCAGAGGTACAGGCGCAGGCGTTTCCGCCACAAGCATTGGCGCAGTCTAGATGAGAGGTACAAAGGTCTCCAAGCTGCCTTTTTTCACAGCGTCTTCTGCTGTTTGGTTTAAAACCAGGCCGGCACACACATGTTTGGTTGCATGTGCTTTCTTTGACGTTCGCGCAGCTGGTTTCGTCTTCGCAGGGGTCGCCAAGTAACCTCTCAAGACAGTGTGTCTTGTTTCTATTACTGGAGTAGTCCTTGAGACAGATGCAGAAGTTGTCTGTGCATCGGCTGTTTCTTACGGATTTGTTGCAGTCTTCATGAGACTTGCATTGATCACCTATCTTAACCCTATCACACGCAACTCCAGAACCTCTACTTATGTAACCCTGAAGGCATTGGCATGTAGAACTAGAACTGTTACAGAAACTTCTATCGACGGCCGCCTCGCAATCTTCATTGTGTGAGCAGTTGTCACCGACGACACGTAACAAACACACGTCTTGTCTATGTTTATACCCTCCCGAACATTGGCACGTTTCGTTTTTACACTCGCTGTTAGAGATGGTCTGACTGCAATTCTTCCCGGGGAACAACTCACACCCGTCTCCTATCTTGAGCTTCACGCACGAACCGTTGACCTTTGTGAACCCATCAAAACACTGACACCTCCTAACGCATGGCTGACTTGTCGGACATTTAGAACACGTCGCGTTCGGTATGGACATACACATTTCGTCAGAAGAACACGGTGCGTCGACCACCGGCTTGCATGTGTTGTTGTTTACCTGAACGAAAAAGCGGGGGCACCTGCAAATTTTAGTTTGCTTATGACACTGGCTGTACATGACTGTGGCATTACAGTCGGCAGTCTTCAAGCATTTGTCTCCAAGAAGTCGCACCGAGCACACGTTCTCGTGTTTCATTACGTACTCACCACCACACTCGCACGTGCCGTTCACGCATGCGCTGTTCTCGACGGATGAGTTGCAGGAAGTGTTTGAGGTGCACGGGTCTCCTAACCGGATCTTCACACAGGAGCCGTTGACGTGGGTGAACCCCTCCACGCATGCGCAGACGCCGGTGCATGACGCGGTGCTGTCGCAGGATTGGCTGAATCTGCACGTGCTGTTGTCGTCCAGCTCCGTGCAGTTGCTGTCCGTCACACAAAGGTCACCGTGACCTGTCACACAAAAAAAATAATGAATTTAATTACATAGACATGTTATATGGGACGGAGTGGGCGAATGATAGAGCATACAACCATATTTAAATTCTGTACTACAAAAATAGAACATTTGTTAACGAACATTTCTGCTTTAAGAATTACTTGAACATAATAAACCATAAACAAGAACAGTAACTCGTTATTTCTTTTTCAAAAATATAAAATATTGTATTGCTTCCCTTTGATTAAATTTTGTTCTTTAAATCTTCTTGTGTGAGCTCTCGTATATAAAGTGAGTTGAGGACGCCATGCCGTATAAATTTAGCTGCAGCCACCAATGACCAATAACAAACGCTAGTTGGTGCCTAGTCGTGAGAGGGAGCCACTGGAAGGTTTTAGCTGGAGCCAACAGACGTTAGCTGGAGCCAGAGTTTCTTTTAGGCATCTCTTTAAGGGGGGGGGGGGCAGCCCCTCGAAAAATTCTACTGCCCCCCCCCCTCCTCCTCCGAACGAAATATGATTTATATAAAATTTGAATTTTAAGCTTATTAACTTCTTACTAATTTCGACTTTTAATTCTATGTGGGTCGCAGGTCACTTACTTTTTATAAAAGGGGGTCGCCACTTGAAAAAGTTTTGGAACCACTGCACTAGATGGATGGAGCCTATTGAAATCTACTGGGGTAAAACTATCTGAACGTATTGAAATCTACAGGGGTCTATGGAAATCAGACAGCCTCAGATAATATAAAAATCAGGAGATGTCAACCCCGCCCCATCTCATGGAGGGGTCCACCCCAGTGGCGTAGCGAGGTCGGGTGTCACCCCCCGGTGTGGCACTTAATGGTGTCACCCCCCCCCCCCCCCGCGAGGCTTAGCAACTCCTCCCGGGGACAAATTTTCGATTTGCACCCCCCCCCCCCCTCGAACTTTCGATTTGCACACCCCCCCCCCCCTCAAACTTTCGATTTCCACCCCCCCCCCCTCAAATTGTTCTCTATATATTTTACTATTTTTTGCCTTGGCTTCAGCCCCCCCCCCCTAAATGGTGTCACCCGGTGCGGTCCGCACCCCCCGCCCCCCCCCCCCCTCGCTACGCATGTGGTCCACCCAGCCCCTTCTCAGACAAACTATAGCGGTCAAACTATCTAGCACATTTCTTTGTCTGTGAAACAACGAAACCCATATGGGCTGAGGTATCCTATAAAAATGGAATCTAAAGAAAGGCTTCAAAGAAACACATTTTTTTCGGTCGTTTTTCCTCTGGTAGCACCGGATTTTGTTGCGGACTGCGCATGTCACGGCCGTACCACGTGGTAGTTGTAGAGAAATATCTCAGGTACGTTCTGGTACCCGTGACCCTTTTACCTAAGCAAGGCTGGGTGGATGGGGGTGGGGGTGGGGTGGAAGGTCAACAGGCACTCACCTCTGGTTCAAGGTTCTCAAAGTGTGGGTTCGCGTGCCCTTTGGGATGGGGGAGAGTTGAGTGCAGTGCGGGGTGGGGTGGGGTGGTGGCTGCATCAGTGTCATTCTGAATAGAGTTATCATGGCCTTTCCTACTTTCTTACTTCTATCTACGGTCGTGTTTTATCTAACCGATTGAACAACGCGTCATCTTTACAGCCTATGTGCTCCAGAGGGTTGGAGGGGGTGGGAAAGGAGTAAAACTTCCGGAGGGGGTGGGAATTTCCTGGACGAGGGTGGGGGTGGAGCGGACAATTTAAAAAATTAAATTTAATGTTCTATTTCGACAAGAGAGATGGTTGGAGGGGGGAGGGTATGTGCTTGCCTCCTTCCCCCCCCCCCCCCAACCTCTTCCAGGAGAGATGCCTGAAAGAAATACTACTCATCCATGAAGCCGTATGTGTATTGAGTGCTGCGTTTGATGGTCGCTGCTTCAAGACAACAATGATAGATTATGTCAATGAACAATCGAACCCCGGAGAATATAATTTGTTACATTTATTTTATACCCTGTGCATAATCAAACAGGAATGTCGGTACTTCAAATGGGTCGGCTTGATGTTTTCAATATGTTATAGCGAGGGTTACTACGCTTAACCTAGCACTATAACCAGAAAATCCTGATAGAAGCCCTCGCTTTAACTAAGTAGAACCTTGAGCATAACAGTGACCAACAAACTGTGTGTTATATTAAAATACTGTGTTGGTTTTCCGTCATTTGATAGAACAAATATATTCCGCACAGACATCTATACAAGGTTATTTAAGCTAAATCTAATGATACACTTTAGAGCGTTAGTTTGCGTGTGTATATTGTCTGTGTGCTAATTTTGAATGCCTGCTTCCGCCATGAAAGCCAGTATTACTTGACATCAAGGTAAGTTTTCTTTAACCAAATTACTTGGCAGATATTTATTGTGTCTGCGTAGCCAATATTTCTGGGCAGAGGCTCACTATTTCTGGGTAGCCAATACTACTGGTCACTGGATGAGTGTTTCTGAGTATTACAAGGCGGAGGTTTAATATGTCTGTGTAACCAGTACTGCTATGCAGAGTTCGATAACCGCGAGTGCTGAAGAAGATACCATGATACCAATATTACTTGGCAGAGGTTCAACGTGTCTGTGTAGGCAATATTACTAGGCGGAGGTTGAGTTTCTGTAGTTAATATTATTGGGTATAGGCTAAAAGTGTCGTGTAGCCAATATTTCTAAGCAGCGGTTAAATGTGTCTGTGTAACCAATATAACTGGGCGGAGATAGAATGTGTCGGTGTAGCAAATACTGCTAAGTAGCGGTTCAATGTGTCATTGTAGCCAATATTACAGGGCGGAGGTTTAATGTATAGCTAAAATTACTCCGCGGAGTTGTCTGTGTAGCTAATATTACTAGGCGGATGTTGAATGTGTCTGTGTAGCTAATATTACTAGGCGGAGGTTGAATGTGTCTGTGTAGCCAATATTACTAGGCAGAGGTTGAATGTGTCTGTTTAGCCAATATTACTAGGCGGAGGTTAAATGTATCTGTATAGCGATACTGCTGTATAGAGCTTGAGAACCGTTGTTAAGACGCCAGTGCTGAAGAAGTTACTGTGAGATGGATGTCTCTACTCTATGACCAGGTGAGTTATCGAGCTCTGGGACTGGCGGTGCCATCACAAGGGAGATTTGAGATACTCCCCTGATCTATGGGAGGTGTATTCTCCGTGAGGGGTGTATGTTCGGATGATCTTTTCGAGTTTGATAAAAGTTGTTTGGATAAGTTCGTGTGTGCTTTTGGGGGTGTATTGATAGTAGTTTTATAAGTTTGTGGGGTCTGTGTGGGATTGTTTTTACCGATACTTACGATTCTCCATGATTTGTATGGGGTGTGTTACTGTGTGGTTTATGAGTGTGGTTATTAAAGAGGTGTGGGTACCACGGGTATGTGTGTCGGGGACATTAGCTAAGGTTTCTATCAGATAGTATTCTCTCCAAGGGGGGGGGTGAAAGGGGGGGGGGGAACACTTTGTGGAAACGACACTGGTTAAGTATATCTTTATAAATTTTTTTCCATTATATCTGCGATGTGCCCCCCCCCTCCCCCCACCACCCTACTTATCCGTAGTAATGACTGAAAAGACATTGTGTATATGCCGACAGCAATTCATGCGTGCTGTATGTAGCTTTAGTCACGGTAGTCTTGGTGTTTTAATCTTGGTGATTGGGGTCTTAACAATAGATGCGTCATGAGTTTATAGATCAGGGCAGTACTTGGATCAAAAGCTAAATGCTGTAATAATGTAGGGGCCTAATATTCAGGGTATCAAAAGAGTGTTGATCTAGCCTTGTTCAGACTTGTTAATCAAAATCTTAGGGGAAAGGATGTTTGTTTATGGAACGGTGTGGCCTAGCGGTAGAGCTGATAACCCGAAAGTCTCGAGTTCGAATCCGGGTCCAAGTCAGTACCCTGAGTCCACCCAGCTCTGATGGGTACCAAACTCGAAAGTAAAGTCGGCTAGGCAAAGTGCTGACTACATCTTCCTTCATATGCCGAGGTAAAGAGACAAAATTCTGAACTCTACTTCATCTGCCTTATAAATCTTTATGCCTAAAGAGGTTTCTTTACATTATGTGCGTTTGGCTTACAAAATCAGATCTAAGAATTTCGTCATAGCCTGGTGAACTGACACTAGGTACCTAGGGTGTCAATTTATAATTAGTTTTTTTTTAATTACGCAGGGCTAATTAAACTTGATTAGACTGCAATGACACTTGACACTTTAATGACTTAACCCAAATAATTTGCTGAGACAGGACAGCTAAAAATACAAGACAGTTCACCTGTGTGACATGTTTACCTGACATATGGTCGACACAAACCATACAAGACAGGTGTCCATTGTCTTAGTCCACATATGCGCTAGCTTATGTAAACCTGTGTCTTTTTTTATACATAAAGGCAGGTTTTACCCAGGTGTACTAAACAAAGTTGCGTGTCGTTATTTATGGAAATGCCTAGACCCGTAAAGATTCATTCTCTTTATCTCCTACAAGAGATAGAACAACGAAAGTCGCCTCCCCTGGCAAGATTTATGTTCCCTGACTTGTGATAACTTCCCTTTGTTTTTTAAACACACAGAAGAGCGCCGCATTTCGGCATACCTGGATATAAGGCCGGGCTGTCTTGAAGTGCCAATGGAGGTGCAGCTGTTCTTGATCCGTTCAGGAATGGGAATTTCCGATTTTTCGGTTATATAAAGCGCTTATTATAGTGCGCTTTCTCATGGGAGATGGCGTTTTCGGGGGGTAGAACATACGGCTGCTATCCCTGAAAGTCTCTAATTCGAAATCCCGGGTTCGTTTCAGGAAAACTTCCACGAGTCCACCTAGTTGTAATGGGTACCTAACTCACGTTAGGGAAAGTAAAGGCGGCTGGGCATAGTGTTTACAACACTAGCTCTTCATATGCTAGGTCAATAAAACAGGTGAACTCTACTTCACCTTCCCCATGGACCGTCGGGTTCGATAAAGGTACTTAACTTAATTACTTACTAATTACTTACAATGCGTT